CTGCATAGCCGTTAGACCGACCCCCACGCCCAGTTCCCCAGACGACACGTAAGAACCTTTAAGTGCAAGCGCTGTTTGGGGGATCGAATGTTCAACAGGTGAAATGGTGCCTGCAATCCTGCTTGCATGTTTAAAGTTTCTTGTGCGAACAATTTGATTATTAATCCTGCAAGGAAGAAAGGCAAACTGTGCGAGAAAGAAAGAAAGAGAGAGAGAGAGAGAGAGAGAGAAAGAGAAGAGAGTCCTGTCCACAGGATGTCTCGCGTTCGGCGCTGTGTGTTTCAGAACTCGTGGTAACCTTTTCAGTATTCGCCGCCAGGGGGTTAAGTCCGCAAGAGAATGCATGCGGACAGGTCGCGCGACATCCCCAACAGCACTATTACCTGTCCGCGCGCCTACAGCATCAGGGATCTCAGACGGGTGTTACGCCGGCCTTCACCAGGGAAACGCTGCGTGGATGGATCATGCCTAGACGCTTAAGTTACACACCGAGATGGCAGAGCAAAGTCTTTGATTGTAGGTGTTCACTGCATCAGGTACTCGAGAGGGACCAGAGGACGGGAGGGTAGTGAAATAGAAGATTGTGAGGGATTGGTGTGTTCTGCAACGGCATGTGCAGGACAGGGTGGGTCGAGGCCTGGAGCTTCCAGGACATCGCACAGCACGCTTCAGGTGCATCGACCGTATGACTCAGAATGTCCTGCGCGTATGCGAGCATTGACAATTGCTCATTTGGCTTAATCATGGCTCAAGTTTATTTGCAGGGCTGTTCTACTGCCTTCAGCAGGGGATGCGGTCCTGACGGTCCGACGGTGGTTCCTTTCTTGTGCATGAGTTGCTACAAGCGTGTGGGCGCAACAAGCTTATGCCCCAAGACCACGCGGTCAGTGCCATGATGTGCGACCTCGGTTCGCAGCCCTGCTTCTGCTGGGACTCTTGCTTGCGCACGATGAGTTGGAACCCTGCAGTTGCCCAGTCTCACCACTTACCAAACCACCCCAACCCAACCCGAAGGCCTCAATTTGCCCTCCATTTCCAGTGGGGGGGGTCGGGGAACATCGAAAAAACACATGTGGAGCCCATACCCCCCCCAACCCGAAATTCGGGTCTTCGGGTTGGGTTGGGGTGGTCTGGTAGGTAGTCACAGTCGCAGCCGCATGCACAGTTCGCAAGCCATGGGAACTTCGCCGATGGCATCGCAGAGGAAGTCCCAGAGCAGAGATGAGAAAGGGTAGCTCGTAGGAAGGGAGAAGTACAGGAGGAGGAGGCGGCGGCGGAGGCGGAGGAGGAGGAGGAGGAGGAGGAGGAGGAGGGAAGGGAGGAGGAGGACAGCACCAGGACGCGGAGGAGGCAGGGAGCAGCACAGGAGGAGCGCGATCGTTGCACGAGCATAATCGTCCGTGCCCTCTCTCGGCTGCACGGGGGGATTAACTTGCTTCTGCCCGCGCCGCACGCATCCACCCCTGTTATTGACAGGGCCCCATGCCCTACCGTGCTGAAGGACGCAGAGTAGGAGGAGGAGGAGGAGGAGGAGGAGGAGGATTAGGAGGAGGAGGAGGAGGAGGAGAAGGAAGAAGAGGGTGAGGAAGAGGATGAGGAGGAGGAGAAGGATAATACTAATTGTAGTAATATCAAGAAGAAGCAGAAGAAGGGGACTGATGACGGAGCAGCTTGGCAGGACAGCTTGGCAGGACGGGGACGATGAAGTAGTCTAGTCTGATGCCGAGGGAGGGTTTAGGTGCGAGGCGGCGCAGAGGCGGATCGACTGCGATGCCGGCGGCTCCCGGCGGCGTGACGGTGTTGGACATGGATCCGGATCGCCCTCGTCCCGAGAATGAGAGGTCAGTCTTTGTATTGCCTTCGGGTCGGGTGTACTGTCGGTTCGGGGAGGGTACCCTCGTTCCTTTCGTGTTTTTGTTGACGTTCTTGTGCTTCCTGGGGAGGGTGCCCTTGGACGTTCTGTGTTTTGGCCGGCGGAGGTTCTCATGTCCTCGGAGGATGTTCTTCTGGCCCAGGTCCGACTAAGGAGAGCGACGCCACCATCACCACCACCAGGGGTGCCACCTCCGGCGAGGAGGTCCACGATGCCTCCCCGAGCCGGGGACGTGCAGGTGATGGCTCGGGGGGGAGCGGGGTCCACATCGCCAGGCTGGACCCTCCCGTGGCCCCTCGCGCGGGTGGTGGCGGTGGCGAGTCTCCTCAGGGGCTGCGCACAGAAGGCCTCCAGAGGCAGGCCCCAGGCGGGCCCCACCAGGCCCGCGGGGCAGCAGCACTCAGCGAGCCTCCTCGCCTCCCCGCCTCGCACGGGGCAGCGCGAGGCGGTCGCCGCGCGCCCGCACGGGGGGGGTCCCTGGAGCTCTCCCAGGAGGGGCAGTCGCCGCCCTGGCCCTGTGAGCATCCCAGGCAGCAGTGCTGTTTTGCTCTAGATTCGGAGGTGGATAGACCTCCTACCCTGACACGTCGATTGAGGAATTGGCCATTTTCGGCTCGCGAGAGGGCGTCGCGGCCGTCATTTTTGCGGGTCCAGGTCCGTCGGTTTCGGTCCCAGGCCGGTGTCACTAAGGGGAGGTTTACTAAAGGGAGGTTTGTACACCGCCGATAGATGCGGTCAGCGCACAGTCCAGAACTCTGGGATCGCGTGCCGCTCCGCTGCTTCTGGCCCACCGCGCCTCGGCGCTGGCGTTATGTCCACGTCCCGGCCCCCGGTGTCAACACGTGCCGAGCTCTTTGCGAGGCCTCCCGCCCGGAGCGGGGCGGAGCGGCACGCCACATCCTTTTGTGGGGGGGCACAGCGCGTCGCCAGGGGCCACCGCGGCTTCATGCTGAGCAGACGTTCCCGGCCGTGGATGGGGTGGGAGGATCGCGACGCATCGCCGAAGCGTCGGCGATGCGGCTCGATGCAGAGCCAGGCTTTCTCCACGTCGACGTCGCCGAGGCATCGCCGACACGTCGTCTCGATGCATCGGCGATGCGGTCCGATCATTCGACCCCGCCTCCTCCGAGCCCATCTGGGAGGCCTCTGCCACTGCAGCAACATCAGTGCTGCCGCTCGGGAACGCATCTGCGGGGGGCACGGGCTTGCTAGAGCGCGCACGCGGACCGACTCTGCCGCGCTGCGGCGTGAAGCTGTGCAGGGGGGCACGGGGTGCTGCCGCACGTGCCCCCACATCCGACCGACCCGCTCGGAGGTTGGCCACCGCTTGGCCAGGCGGCGAAAGAAGGCCATGCTGCGAGGGGAGGAAGGAGGAGGGGGCCTTACTCCCCCCCCTCCTCCTACGCCCTCTCGTTGTCCTCCTTCTGCTCTTTCCCCCTCCCGCCCTCGCCCTCCATTGTCCCTCATCCTCACCGTCCTCCTCCTACCCCCTCGTGCTTCCTCGCTTGTCTCCCTCCGCCTCGTCATTGTATTCCTCTCCCTGTCTTCCTTGTCCTCCTCCTGGACTTCCTTCCCCTCCTCCTCCTCCTCCTCCTCCTCCTCCTCCTCCTGGCCTCGGCCGTTTCGGCCTTCCCTCACCCTCCCTCATCCTCGACTCTGGAAAGCGGCGGCAACGTGGTTTCTCACTTCGCCTCTGCCGACCATCTTCAGTTTGGCCTCCGAGGGCTCCTGACCTGACGAATACGGCCTGCCAGAAGGAGGAGAGGAGGGACGAGGATGAACAGAGGGAGCCTGAAATGATGAGGAGGAACCAGGAGGATGAGGGAGAAGAGGTGGATGGCGGGGGAGGAGGGGACAGGAGGAGAAGGATTTGCCAGGCTTGCCGAAGTGCACCCACAGAACCGTGGGACGTCTGGAGGGGTAGGAGGAGGAGGAGGAAGAGGAGGAGGAGGAGGAGAAGGAGGAGGTGAGCAACAGGTATCTTCGCAGGAACAGGGAACATTCAATCACGGTTCTCTCTGACTCAAGGGGTTCACGCAGTTCCGCCGACACCAACAAGAGGATATCTGCGGCTTCCGATGTCGTACGTGTTGTGCGGCGCTTCCCATCGTGTTGCCTGCGCGTAGTTGTTGCTCAATCGTCCTCCTCTTCCTCCGCATCTGTTGCGGGGCGTCGTGAGGCCCCTTGGAGGCCCAGGGGGCGGCCTCTGGAGACTTTTCGGGGCCTCTGGAGCCCTTGGAGGCCCTCTGCGGGCTCCTGCGGGGCATCGTGGGGGGGGGTCTTGGGTCTTGGGAGCCATCTGGTGGGGGAAGGCTCCTGGGGTCCCATCGAGGTCCCCCCCTCTCTTGGCCCTCTCGTGGACCCCCCTTGGGGCCCTCCCGCAGGCAGTGCTGCTGGTTCGGGGGCCTCCTGGGACGGACGCCTTGCGGTCCTCTTGGGGCGTCTCGGCGGCCTGCCGGAGGGCCTCGTGGGCCGTCTCGGGCTGGGCCTCTCGGGCCGCCTCGGATGCGCAGGAGCCCAAGGTGGGCAGCACGCGAACATCTGCCAACAACCTGCAGTCAACCCGCATAGCAAGGGTGGGCAACAACTTCCCAAGGGCACCCTTGCATCCTTGCCTCCTCGGTCCATCGGCCAATCTCGTTGACCGCGCCCCACTCGAAAAACTCCGAAATGGTCTTCCACTGACCTTGCGTCCTTACCGCGCATCCTGATGATACGGGCCGACTGAGTTGGACATCAGCGACCACTGAGCATTGCCCCCTGAGGCCCCCTTGGGGGCCCTCACGGGGCCTGCTTTGGGCCGTCTTGGGGGCGCGCTGGGCCGTCTTGAGGTCACACGGGGTGGTTCTGAGGCATCTTTGGTGTGCTGGAGCCCTTTACTGGAACCATCTCAGAGGGCGTATTGGACATCTTGGCGGCCACGGAAGGTGGGGTTGGAAGCTCCCATGGCCCTAGGAGTGCGTTGGCAAGCATGTTCCCCCCTGACCCCTCCCACCCTTCCGTTGCAATTTGGGCCCTAGGGGAGGAGGAACGGGGGAGGGGGGCAGCCAAATGCCTCACACGCCTTTTCACACACGGCGTGCGGATGTCGGCGAACATGTCCTGGCCTGAAGATCCCGCATCTGCGATGTGCTTTGGCTATTCCCTGGCCGTGTGCTACAGGAGCACTGGCGCAGCCAGTGCAGAGAGAGAGAGAGAGAACAACAAAAACAGAAAGAGAGAAAGAGAGATAGAGAGCATCAAAGGAGACAGAGAGCGTGTGTGCTCCCGGAGCCGCGGCAAGTACACGTGCTCGCTCTTGGTCCGTGGCCTCTGCGTGTCGACGCTTGTCCGCTGCCAGGAGAATCGGGAGGTGACCCAGGAGGAGATCGAAGAGTACGCGGAGTTCTTAGGAGTGCGGCCCGACGCCCGCATGCCTCCTCTCGCTTCTCCCCGCGCTCTGTCGGCCGGCGCGGAGCTCATCATTGCCCTTACGCCGGCTACACGCGGGAGTGACCCTTCGCCGGAGCGACCTTTGGTGCGGACCCGCTGGAGCCCCCCAATCGCCGAAGGCGATGCGATGGTGGCGTCTTGCGCGCTCGTGTTTGGTCCCCCCGCGGCCCCCCCAACAGCCGCGCACGAAAGGTCACTCTTGCCCAGGGTCACTCTTGCGTGTAGCCTTAAGTCGGGCCTGTCCCTCTACACGAGGAACACTCAAAAACATAGTAAGAAAATAGCCTGGGGACGACTTTTGACCACGTTTGAGTATGTCAGGGCATTGTTTGACTATGTTTTTTTTGTCGTCCAACATCCCCCTGTAGGGGACAGGCCCGACTTAAGTGCAGCCTTATGTTGTCCCCGCCCTACTTCAGGACCGCATCGCAGAAATCATTTCGAGCACCCAGCAAAGTGTCAGAAGAGTGTCGCAACAGTGCCGAAGCAGTGTCTCCCAGGGCCCGGCACGTGGACACCCTTGAGCTTCGATACTTTCTGGGGCGCTCGAAATTCTTCCTGGTGACCAAGGCTAAAGTAGGTTGGAGCATCGGAATCAGGAGGGGAAAAAACACACAGACACAATTAATCGTCGATTCTTCAGAAAATATTGGAAAATATGGGAAGTGTGGGGGAAGACAGAAACCCAGAAAATGTATGAAAATATATTTATTTGTGTGTATTTATTTGTGTGTCCTGGGGCCCCTTTAAGTAGGTTGGAGCATCAGAAGTGTAGCCGATCGCGGCGATGCGCGCCCGCCCCGCCCGCTCGCAGCACCGCCGCCCTTGCCTTCGCGGCTGGAGGGCAGGGCCCCCCGGCCCCGCGGGGGTGCTCCCCGGAGGCGCCCAGAGGCGCCGGAGGAGCCAGCAGAGGACGTCGAGACAGGCACGTGTCTGGTTGACCCAGAAGGGTGTCCAGCGATAATGCGGGATGACGATTAATAAAAAATGGTAGAGAACGATTCAACAAATAGCTTTCTGCTATTTCTGCACAAGTTTCTGACTGGAGGACAACGATTACAAAGAATAGTTTCCAGCCCGCGGCCGGTTTTTTCTAATCGTCATCCCGGGCGCCGCCGCGTGAACACGACCCCCAGTCATTTATTAATCGTCATCCTCCATTAAGGAGGTGGTGCAATATATGTGGTGCAATAGGTTTTTGGGGTTGCAATGGGTTTGGGGCGTGCAGTACATTCGGGGGCGCAAGTGTATTGTCGGGATTGCGTGTGCAATACACTAGTTGCAATACAATGCAATACAATTCTCTGGCGCAATACATTTGCAGTACAATTGCCCCAAATCTATTGCACCACCCCCTTTCAGCTGGACTCCCTTTTTGGTCAAGCAAAATGTGCCTGGGCTTTCGAGCAGTGGCGAAGCGTCCCTACCCTTCGTGGGCCCCGGAAACTGCCGGGCCGTTGTTTCAGGTTTGTGTTCTAAGAACGTTGTTGTTGTTGTTGGTGTTGGTGTTGGTGTTGGTGTTGGTGTTGGTGTTGTTGTTGTTCTTGGAACGTTTTTGGGTTCAAAGGACATGTCGTGGTAGGGCTACAGGAATGCCGGGGCGGTCGGTCCAGCTGCTTAAGGCCGGGCGGCGCGCGCCAGGGTCCGGGGTTCCAGAGGCGGGAGTCCCTGCAATTTTGGGGCGAGTCGGAGCGCCGGATCTTGCATCGGGCCGGGCGAAAGGGGGGGATTGGGAAAGGGGGGGTTACGAAATTTGCTGCATGCAGCTTGTTTCGGCCTCACCGAGGGGCCCATTCCTCGATGCGCCGGGAGGCGCTGGGAAAATCAGCTACGTGAGCTGATTCTCAAACCCCCCCTTTGCTATCCCCCCCTTTCGTCCGACCCGATTGCAGGATCTTGCAGGGCCAGGGGGCGCACGGACCCGGGTTAGGGCGCAGGATCCTGCAGGATCCTGCAGGTCCCTGCAGGGTCCTGCAAAAAGCCCGGCCGACCTGGGTCTGGACGAGCGGGGGCAGTGCGGTGGGGCGGCCTTCTGAGAAGGCGGGGGGGGTGCCGAGAAGGCAGGGGGCTTCTCGGAAGCGTTGCCAGTGTCTGCGAAGCCTCCTCGGAAGCTTCTCTAGGCCCCTCTGACTCTCGGAAGGCCCCAGCCTTCTCTACGTTACATCTTCGGGGGACCCCGCCTGTCCCAAAAAATAATGCTGTCTCTTGTGAACGTCGAGGGCTCGATGCGGACTTCGACGCGGATTATGAGTGGATCCGACGCGGATTCGACACGGATCCGACGAGTCCGACGTGGATTCGACACGGATTCGACGTGGATAGGGCCGCGACGGGACAGGCAAGGTCCCCCACAGACCAGTATTCAGAAATAGTAAAACGATAGTTTGGGGACTATTGTTTGATCATTTTTTCCATGTTGGAATATGTTTAGAGTATTATTTTATGTTTCACCGTGCCTGGGTCGTGGAACAAAAGCCTCCGAGAGGGAAGGTCGGGAGTCTCTCGGGAGACTTGTGGGGGTCCTCTTGAAGGCCTCTGTGTGGCTTCTTCGGGGTCTCCAGGGCCTCGCTGGCACCTCTCGGGGGGCCTGCCGGCGGCTTCGGGGGTCGACATGGGGAGAGGGCTTCAGATGTCAGTTCGGGTTCCCTCTGTTGGGCACCTCTAGGGGCCGCATCAGTCCCTCTTGGGCTGCTCGGGGGGTGGCTTGGGTCGATCTTGGGGGATGCCTGGGCCTTCTTGGACTCTCAAGACCGAGAAACCGAGACTACAGAAACCACCCACCAACATTAAGTCGGGTCTGTCCCTCTACAGGAGGAATATTCAAAAATAGTCATAGTCCGGGGGCGATTGTTTGCCTATTTCTAGTCTTTCCTCGAACATCCCCCCGTAGGGGGACAGGCCCGACTTAACACCAACACGATGTTTTTTTGTTTATATATATATATATATATATATAGGCTTCCCAGGCCGCCCCCCAGAGCTTCCAAGACTGCCCAAGATGCCACAAAACGGCTGCCACGTGCACTGGGCGGGCGCCGTCCTCTGCCTGCGCTGCAGCGCAGCACGCGCCACTCCAATCCAAGTACCCCTCTCCCCCTCCTCCTCCTCCTCCCTCCTCCTCCTCCTCCTCCTCCTCCTCCTCCTCCTCCTCCTCCTCCTCCTCCCCCCCTCTCCCCCTCCCTCTCCCCCTCCTCCCCCCCCTCGCCCGGCATGTTTGCAGGTTGGAGATTGGTACCCCAGTCAACGGTGATGGTGTAGAGCTTGAGGAGAAAGAGGGAAAGAAGCTTCAGCATACCAGTAAGACCTTCCAACGGTTTCACCTCCAACTCGCACTGCGCTAATGTCGGCTGCACTTGCTCTGCTCGTCTTCCTCCCCCCTGTGCAACTCCTCCAGGCATCGACCTGGACACAGAGCGGCACCTTCTGTGGATTGCGCGCCAGGACTGGCGTGGGACAGGCTGCGCGTGCTCACATGAAAGCGAAGTCATGCTGACAATTCACGTTATGTTGTATTGCATGCACGGGGCAGGCTGTCGCCAGAAAGCAGAATGCGCACTGCTGCTAGGGGACTTACACTCTGCTCAGAAGAGGTGGCTTCACAACCCAGAATGCGACAATACATGCCGCCCGCGTGCAGTCCAGTGCATTGCCTGGGCTGTAGAATGTGAAACAATTGGTGCCAGCCATGTGCCGCGCTGTGCCCTGCAGTGCCGTGCTGTGCCATGCGGTGCCGTGCCTAGCTTGCGGAATGCGGAAAAAGTTGGCGCCCGCATGCCGGGTCGTGGTCGCGTGCCGTGCCGTGCCTAGCCTGGCTTCTGGACTGCGAGGGAGTTGCCGCACGCGTGCCGTGCTGTGACGAGTTGTTGGGATGCGGGGGAGGTGCAGCTTGCATCGGGCGGGTGGCAATGGGGGGAGACCTGCATGGGGGGCGAAGAAGGGGCGCGACAGTTGCCCATTCGGGCACCTTTCTTGGGAGCCCCTGCTGACTCCAGAAGGGGCCCCGGAGGGCAACCCCCATGTAGGTACCCCCCCGGTTGCCACCCGCCCAGCCGCATGCCGTGCTGTGCCGTGCCCGCAGGTCGTGCTGTGCTTAGGCTCCTGCGAAGAAGTTGCCGCCCGCTGGACGCGCCGTGGCGTGCCCGCGTGCCGCCCGCGTGCCGTGCCTCGCCTCCGGAGTGCGCAGGAGGCGACGCCCGCGCGCCGCACCGTGCCCGCTGGCCGTGCACGTGCCCGCGGTCCCTGCCGTGCCGTGCCGAGCGGCTCTCGAAGGCGAGAGGGCGCGGCCGTCCTGCCGTGCTGTGCCTTTTGCGCCGCGCCGTGCCCCGGGTGTCGCGGCTGCGGAGAGGTGCCGCCCGCGTGCCGTGCCGTGCGCGTGCGCCGTGCTGCCGTGCCGTCGCTGGGTGGCGGGAGAGAGTGCCGCCCGTGTGGCGCGCCGCGCTCGGTTGTCGGAATGCGAAGAAGTTGCTGCGATGTCTGTTCACGGGAGCCTTGGTCGGCGACATTGAAATCAGCTTTTCCTGCATGTGGACAGCGTGGGGGCCTCATTTGGCTCATCCTCCTGTTCCTCCTCTCCCCTCCCGTTCCCCCTCCCCCTCCTCCTTCTCCTAGCCCCCACGAGTCCAATCCAAGTCTGGTCCAAATCCGGTCCAAATGTGTTCCAAATCGGGTCCAAATCAGGCCCAAATTGGACAGTGCCGGGGGCCACGCAGGCTCTCATGGAACGGACACCAAAAGTTGCCGTGCCGTGCCGTGCCTAGGTTTCAGAATGCGTGCCGTGGTCTGCTGCCCACGTGTCTGTCTTATCCTGCATCGTTGGTTTTTCGGGCTTCTGTTCCGATGCTGTGATTCCATGCCAGTGGCAAGGGTGCCCTTTGCCTCTCTGACGGCGTGCGCGCCAGGGGCGGAGGGAGTGTGGGCGGGGGCGGCTCCGGAGAGACTTGGGGGGAGGACAGGGCAGGGCAGCCGCACAGCGCACAGACCGCTGATGGTCTTTAGTTCGCCCACCTGCACGGAGGTCCGCCCGTCAGTTCGGCCCCATGGTGAAAGTGCGGCTATGCACGGCGCTGTCCTCAGTCATGTGCGTGCGCGGGGGCTTGTCCTTCGTTTGTCCCGCCGCGAGGGGGAAGACGACGCCCCAACACCAACGCCAGCCAGACCTCGCGCCCGCGCAAGCGGTGCTGGCCGCTTTGGCTGACGGGGGATGCACGCAGGCCCCACACTCACACACTTTTGACGCAGTGCTGATTATCGCTCACCGCGTTCGTGTTCGTCTTGATCGTCCATCCCTTTTCCTTATGAGTGACTCCTCCCTGTCGCACCCCGAGGCCAGTCAAATGGGCGGGCCGGGCATTTCGCCTCACAGTTCTCTGCCAATGATGAGCCTGAAGCTGACAAACTGACAGCAGCTTCTCAGATGGATGGCGGGTCCTTTTCAAAATGTGGCTCTCGCATCAGCGCCGCGCACGTCTGCGTGAAACATGTGCAAGAGCTTCACGCAGATGTGGGCGGGTCGTTTTCAACATGTGGTTCTCGCCTAAGCGCCACGCACATTCGTCTTCAAACATTGTAAGACATTTCCAGATTGAGGGCAGGCAGTTTTCACAATGCGGCTCTCGCCACAGCGCCGCGCACAGTCGTCTTCACACATTGCAAGAGCTTCACGGATTGAGGGCGGGCCGTTTTCAAAATGTGGTTCTGTCCTGACCGCCGCGCGCATTCGTCATACAGAAACGTACGAACTTCACGGATTGAGGGCGGGCCGTTTTCAAAATGTGGTTCTCGCCAGAGCGCCGCGCACATTTGTCTTCAACAATTGCGCGAGTTTCACGGGTTCCCATGGTCAGCGTACCAGAAACTTGCGTTTTGGAGCGACTCAGGATTGCCAGGGCGCAACAGTTACGTTGATTCGCGGTGTTGAGTTCCCAGGACTTGTGTTGTGGCACGGTTCAGGATCGTCGAAACGCAACAGTCAGGTTGATTCGTTGCCATGGAGTCCCGGAAATCATATTTTGGCGCGCTTCAAGATTTTCTATCGGTTGTCACCCAACGGGGCATTCCCCCCCAGTGGAAACGGAGTGTGAAGGCCATGCGGCCGGTGCCGCCGACCCTGAATGGCGACGGCGACGACGACGACGACAACGACGACAACGACGACCCCGGGCGCTGCCTGCCAGGCGAACCTGGCCGCGCGTGGGGGCTGGGACCCCAGGTGCTTCGCTCTGCGTCACAGGGGCCACTGGGACCCCGGGCGCCGCCTGAGCCCGCGTGGGCTATTTGGGCAAACGTTTCCAGGCGCCTGGGGGCTGGGCCACCAGGTGCCTCGCTCTGCGCCTCGAGGGCTGGGACCTCGGGCGCCGCCTGTGTCCGCGCGGGCCATCCAGGCAAAAGTGCCCAGGCGCGGGGGCTGGGACCCCAGGTGCTTCGCCCTGCGCCCTGGAGGCTGGAACCCCGGGCGCTGCCTGACCCCGCTTTTGGCTTTCCCGGCAAACCTGCCCAGGCGCCTGGGGGCTGGGACCCCAGGTGCCTCGCTCTGCGCCCTGGGGCGCTGGGATCTCGGGCGCCGCCTGAGCCCGCGCCGGCCATCCGGGCAAACATGACCAGGAGCCTGAGGGCCCCAGGTGCTTCGCCCTGCGCCACGGGTTGGGACCTCGGGCGCTGTCTTGACCTGGGCGGGCCATCAGGCCAAACGTGGCCTCGCTCTGCGCCCTGGGGCGTTGAGGGCCCGCGTGGGCTTTCCGGACAAGCCTGCCCAGGCGCTTAGGGGCTGGGGACCCCGGGTACCTCGCTCTGCGCAAGGAGGGCTGTGGCTTCGGGCGCCGCCTGAGGCGCGTGGGCTGTCCGGGCAAACCTGTTCAGTTGCTGGGGGCTGGGACCCGAGGTGCCTCTCTCTGCGCCTGTGCACCGCCTGGAGCCCGCGTGGCTTATCCGGGCAGACCTGCCAAGTCTCCTAACACCAGGCGCTTTGCGCTGCGCACGGAGGGCTGGGGCCTTGGGCGCTGCCTGGACCGAGTGCTGTCCGGGCAAACCTGCCCATGCGCCCCTGCCCGCCCGCGCGCAGACCAGGTAAACCAAGCGCAATTACGCGTTCGTGATACCTTGCTGCTGGCGCTCGCCAGTGGGCGCAGCGAACGTCTCGCAGAGGTCGCAATCCGTGCTCGCGCGCGCGCGCAAAATTCAATGAACGCCTGCCAGGCGTGGGCGCGGCTCAAATTCGCGATTGGAAGCAGCTCGCGCAGATTCGCCAAGACCGCTCCAAGACGGTTCCGTGCAATGTCGCCGCGAACAGCAAACTGCCATCAATGAGAGCTGGCGCCCGTCGCAAGCCGCCGCGACCTAGAGTTGCAGCGAACGTCAAAGAAACTAACTTGGGTTGGTGAATTACCTTAGAGCGACCGCCCATTGGTTAGAAGGGACGAGCGTAGGGACAACAGCGCGAGAGTTTAAGTTTTTGTGACGCTAAACTTTCGGCAGCACGGTCATCGCCCAGGATTCCTGTTGCGTGGCACCAAGAAAACTTGCCCAACATCGAGAACGAAGGCTGCATCGTGGACATCACGTGGGGCCCAGGTCGAAGGCGCGCGCGGCATGGCGCCCCAGCCCATCCAATCAAGCATGAAAGCTATACGTTCCAAGTGCCAATCGCCTTTCGATTTTTTCAAGGTATTCGACGCTTCCTCCTGGGCACCCTCCGAGCACAGCGGGTTCTCAGCAAAGGCGCCATATACAACAAACAAGTCGGATTAACAATGTTGAATTCTTCTTGCTCAATTGCGTCAGATCAGGGCCCTGAATGGGCACGGTTCCCGCGCGTTTTCGCTAGAGCTCAAAGTGTACGCCATTACATAGAGTGCGTGGGCGCCGATAAAGTGAGAACGAACTTGAGAGAAGCCTTCAGCGGAATGTTTCAAACATGGGAACTGCTTACAACGTGTGGCAAGGCCGTATCAGCGAAGCGGGTCTTGAAATCCGCCGGCAGACATTGCCATGGAGAGTTCGTGCAGATTTGAATGAAGATGCCGCCCCTGTGGGGCAGAAGCTGGTGCGTATCTTGGAAGTTCTGGTTCAATACCAAAGCAGCGCGGGCGGGCGGCCCCCTGCAATTGCACCAGAGGCGTCGCGTCAGTTAGCAACTGCGCAAACCAACGCCCCGAAAGGGGGGCACAGATATAGAGCGGTTTCCTGCAAAGCGGTCGGGGCCGTTGAAAGCGCGTTGGCGCAGGCTGCGCGAATGGATGAAGAGCGACACTGCGTGCCTTGAGTTGCGCAGACTGTCCAGGCATAGGCGCTTCTATTTCCACAGATGGTGCGGATGCTGGGTCGGAATAAGCCACGCATCAACGGGGCCTAAAGAGGAACGCGTTTTTGCAGTTGAAACGATCCACGAACGTATATCGTAGACAAATACAGACGATGGCGCGGTTAAGGACGATTCCGATGGGGAA